TCTAACCCTAACCAAACACATGAAAAAGCTAAAATCACAGTGTTTTTGGAATTATTTGCAAATTACAGATGAAAATCTTTGTCAGACACAGATAGTAAAATAAGCTCTCATTTCAATATTCAAGATATACCTAGCTTTTAACCAAAACTTTTATGTAGGATTTTCAAAGGCAGCTTCACAGAGCCAATAAATAAATAAAAAACATTTATTTGATGTATGATTTTGTTATGTTTGGTTTCTCACTTCCCTGTGAGTGAATAATGAAACTAGGGAACTAGGTCTTAGGAAACTAGGGAAAGTTAACTTAGGAAAATTAAAAAATTTCATTATACAGCAAAATTTTATTGTTCAGTTACGATGTTCAAAGCATAAAAAGTAAAAAAAAAAAAATGTATATGCAAAAAAAGTCAGTATACTGTTTATTTTCCAATTTTGTCAAAAATTGGTTTAAAAAATGGTTTACAACCATTTTTATAAATCATATTTTCAGATATAATGTTTTTGTAATGTTTGACAAATGTTGATATTAAAAGTTTACAGTTTGTATCTAAATCTTTGTTGTTTTTCATAGTGTGATTTTTGAGGAATTGTATTGAATCCAATTAGGGTCAATTTGACCCGCTCCATAAATGGTGTACACAGAATTCGAACAGTGCACATTAAAGAAGCATTACAGCTCAAAGCATAGGCAACTACATTCAGCAAAGTCTGGGAGAGCGGGCAGGCCATGTTCTCTCTGGTCAACAACCACTTCCCTCTGTTTAAATGCAAACTCCTCTCCACAAACTCTGATGAGGAACATGCTCCTGCCAGAGGACAGGGAGGAACAGAGGAGAACAGGCAAAAACTACAGCAGGGAAACACAATCGCACACACATATATTCACAAAATGAACAACATCAAATGACATACTTCCTGGGAAGTAACAGTATATATTGTAACCTACACCATCATTTCCCTTCATTTGAGTTTTATGCTAATTTAAATATTACTAATAATATAATATTTTAATATAATCATATCATATATCATACAGTTGCAATCAAAATTATTTAACCCCCATTGCAAATCAGGTTTGTTGGCAAAATGTACAGACTTTCAGCTGTTTGCAATAGGGGTTGAATAATTTCGATTGCAACTGTATACATTTAATAGTCAGTTACCATTACCAAAGCACATGGTTATCAAAAAGCATTACAGGCTAAAAAGGGATAGTCCACAAAAAAAGAAAAGAAAATTCTGTCATCAATTTCTCACCCTCATGTTTTTCCAAACCTGTATGCTTTTTTTCTTCTTCTGTGGAACATAAAGAAGATATTGTGAAGATATTTAAAGCATGTTCCCATTGACTTCTATTTTATTGGTTTTTCCATATGGAACTGACACTTTTTGGATACCAGCATTTTTCAAAATATCTTCTTTCTCTCTTTCACCAAAGAAAGAAAATCATTCAGGTTTGAAACGACATGATGGTGAGTATATGATTATAGTTTTGGGGTGAACTAACAATTTAATAAAGAAAATAAGAAATAAAGATATACAAAATCAAATTTAAAATCAGAAAATAGAGAGTCTATGATTTGAGAGTCTTGATTTGGACCGTTATTTCAGTGATTATGTTTCTATCATGTTCTATCATGCATCAGTTCTTCTAACCCTAAATTATAGAGTGTGTAGCTTTTAATTTCTTAACAACCATGTAGAAAGACACATCATGGCCATATTCCAGGATGACAATGTCATGATTCATCAGGCTCAAATTGTGAGGACTCAAATGCAGGTCAGGGTTTAATTTCTTTATTAAATAATAAAATAAAACAAACACAACAAAAACTACCCAGAGTGGGAAAAACAGAACCGAACAGACTTGAATTGACTGGACTTGAAGCAGGGAAAACATAAAAAGACATACCATGACCAACAATGACGATCCAGCACAGGACAGCAAACACAAGGAGAAGAAATAGGGAAGCAGCAAGGCAGGTAACAAGGGAGAGCAGGTGGGACAGAATCATTTTCACACATGACTTGGCACCGGAGCTTAAATTCACTGAAAGTCTTTGGGATGTGCTGGAGGAGACTTTACAGAGTGCTGGACTCTTGCATTGGCAATACAAGATCTGGACCAAAAATGTATGCACTTCTTGATGGAAATAAATGGTGATTTCTAGTCAAGCTTGATTTCTCCCCTATTATCTGACAGGATTTTGGTTGAAATGCTGGGTTTAAATGGCAAAGCATAAAAAATGGATACTTCCTCATAATTACTGTTTGTTGTCAGGACATGCAGATGTTCTCAGGGTGAGAATGAAAGCCGTTTGTGTTGCTCTGCAGATCCAGGGTTTGTGGGCAGATGTTTATGCGATCAGTGTGGGAACGTTGCGCAGGTGGGTGAGGGCGAGACACTGTTATGAGTTTCTCTGGCTGGTTCATGATATCTGTCTCAGGACTCGCACATACTATGCAGCAATATTTACTATCAAACAGAGATGGCTGCGGGGGGTATTTGTTTATAATTATTTATCTATTAATCTGTTTGTCTAGCATAAACATGGAACTGTTCTCGCTAGAATGAAGAATTACAGTGCAAACACGAGAATATCAGAAGTACTTGTGTAGACATGAATTTGATTTCATGGGAAAAGGGAAAGAAATGAGAAAAGCAAATTAGCTTGCAGTTGAACAGCAGGACAGTCCATCATGAAGTCTGATTTACTGCAACTAATTCAGAGCCTGGGCACAAGAAAAAGACCATGTTAATGAAGCTTTAGTGAAGACATAAATAACACTTCATTGTCTTCTTGGTCTGTGGAGACTTGCATAGAAAAAAAGCAAAAGACGTCTACTCACAGAACATTTGTTACCCCCTTACTTGCACTGAAAATGGTAAATGGACTGCATTTATATAGCGCTTTCACAGACCCAATGGTCACCAAAGCGCTTTACATATTGCCTCACATTCACCCATTCACACACCGACGGCGGTGTCTGCCATGCAAGGCACCATCCAGCTTGACGGGAGCAGCTGGGGTTAGGTGTCTTGCTCATGGACACCTCGACACTTGAACCACCAACCTTCCGGTTTGTAGACAACCTACATGAACCACTGAGCCACTGCCGCCCCTGAAAAAAGTACATTACAAAATGTCTTTACAGTGATGATCATCATAAAGAAAAAGTTATCGTACTCGGGATGTTTATAAAGGTTGTAAGAAATGGCTCAGCCCAGCAGCAGAGGTGCAGGATTCGCTCTTAGCCTCAGTAATAGTTCATTATAGAGCCATAAATCAGAGACCACCCATTGTGTCAGAGATCGTGAAGAAAACTGTTTTGGTGTCTTGGAAAAATGGGGTTTCCTTAATACTAGCAACATGATATTGGGTAAAAGATGCTTATGAAACATAAGTCACACTAAACAATAATCAAGAAACAGTATAATTATTGCTATCCACACACACACACACACACACACACACACACAAATCTCATTTTATCATTGTGCCCTTGAGTGAAACCTAATAACATCATGGTGACTGTCTCTGTTGTAAGTTGTTTCGGCTAAAAAGTGATTTGTTTTTATGAGCAGTATGAGCTTGGAAAAGTGTGAGCAGCCGGCTCCGGTCCGCATCCAGACCAGATGGTAGACCTAACTACCCCTAAACCTAACCCTACCCATAAGTTATCCCTAAAATAATGGGTGAATAACACTGATGTAGAAACACCTAACCCTGGTTTAAAGCCTAAACTTGGCATAAACTGTAAACTCGTCGCTCAAATCTGATTGATTGATTGATTGGAATGTTGTTCCAGGATCAACAAAGATGTTGATCCAGAAACATGTTGCACTTGGTGAAATCAGGTTCTGTGTACAGACAGTCAGCTTCAACTCCCCTACCACCAAATTCTGGTGTATAATGAACCCCGATCATCAAGCAGAAGGAACTGGATGAAATATTCTGAATGATATCAATCTACAGAGTGACCTGTGATGCACATTATAATCACATCATGTTTGTCCGTTTGGCCAGAGGAGAACTCGTCCCCGTCTGAGCCTGGTTTCTCCCATGGTTTTCTTCTCCATCCTGTCACCTGTTGCTATATACATAAAGGTGACTAGGCTTATTGCTAATTGATGAAATTGTATAATTTCATATTTGGATAAACATGACAACATCAGCCATGTTTTCTGCTGTGTTCCTGAACACACACTACATGTAATCAAAGAAACCTACAGTTGCTTAAATGTGCTTCAGCGTTCAGAGAATGAAGCGTCTCCAACATTTGCACACATGCACAGTTAAAAGTAAATCTGAGTTGCTTCCGTATTACTCACAGTATTTTCACAGGTGCTGCTGAATTTTGACGAAAACCCACATTGGTTGTGTCCTTTACTTTTCCTGAGCTCCTCCTGGAAAATGTCTCCCAGGTTAGATTACTTTGGCCCAAATTTTCTTCTTCTTCTTCTTCTTCTTCCTGCACAGTTACAGATGTTGGCGTGTGAGTCTGCTGAGCAGGCACTTTGAAAAATAAAGCAATCTTTTCATTACTTACAAAAACAAGAATAAACATGCACAACCTTCCTTATTGGGGGAGAAGATAAATAAAAAGCTTACACTTCTCTGTGCCACATTGTACATGTTATTATAATTAATTAAAAACGCTATGCATAATAAGCAGATCAACATAATTAATATTAAATATATTCTAATTAGTATTAGCTACTCAGTTCTTATGTAGCTAATCATTCAGTAGGCTAACATATTACCATATTGTATAGCCTACTGGATACTCTTAGAATATAAATGACAATTGGAGATTAGGCTGAATTTGATTGATTATAGTTAATAATAAAAAAGCCCAAATCTTCGTCTGCTCTTGAACCTACTGAATTCATAATTTCCTAATATAGAAACCCGGAAGTGACACCAAAGCCAAAGCACCCGCCTCCCTCAATATGAACGTGCTGCAGGGTCTCCAACGCCAAGGTTATTAAGTGCATTTGTGTGTCGCTCGCTCGCTCGCTCACGGTGGTGGTGGTGGTCGTGACTTTACCTTCAGTAAGACAGGAGCTCGAGAGATTTGGTAAGACTTATGGTCTTCTAATAGAAATGCGTTGTCTGCTGAATGTTACCGACAATTTCTACTGTAATGGTGCTGGAATAGGGGTGCATAGCTTTCTGAACCTATTATTTCGCATAATATTGAATTAATAAGTGAAATGATTAGAATTATAATCGAACTAATCGCTTTTAATTCGTGTGGAGGCTACTGTAAATGCTTGTATACAGAGCAGGTGCGGACTAGACTTCCTACAGAGAGTTCATACACGTGCTCTGCAAACTGACCTTCACACAGATCGTGTCAAATGATAGGACATGGTTATTGTTTTACGTGGAAAATTAGTTTAACGAGAAAACTGACTTTATTTGGTGATATTTTTAAATGAATCATAAATGTGTATTTAAAACTGACTTTTTGGGTGATATTTTTAAAATGAATCATAAATATGTATTTAGTTTTAATATAAATAATTTTATTATTAAATAATTTTACTAACGTTGTAGTGCTTACAAGTTCGATTTCCATTTTTTTATTTTTTTTAGGAGTTTAACTAATTTGTATTTTTCCATTGTGATTTGGTGGCAGGTGGATGTGACATTTTCTTCAGGGTCAGCTCTGAGCATTTGTCCTTCCCTGTGTCTCTCTTCATCTCTCCTGACTTGAAAAGCACAATATTTACATTGCAGGGAGTCATATTTTGCAAATAGAGTTCTGTGGTAATAATATTCTATGAAAAAAAAGGGGAAGATATGCAGTCGTTACCTCATGGAGCTAATTTTAGCTAACACAAACCTAAAAATGATGAGTTGATGCACAAATATTAAGTAATTTTTTTTCCATTTTTTTTTTAAAACTTTTAGTTCATTTAGATATTACCACATGAAGCACATTTTTAGGTCACCCAACAACACATTATTAGACTGTACAGTGATTTTACACAGTGTGACCATCACATGATTTCGCTACAGTTTAATCCTCTCTGCCACTTCTGGAAAGATTAATCAACAATGTCTGCACATTCTTGGAAAACTTAGATCGCAATCCAAAATAGTTTGACGTTAATCTGTAGGGCCAGAAAAGTACAGTTATGCATTATTGACGTATGCGTCTAGAGAGGTTATTTTTAAAATGTGAGTAAACGACACAAGTTTAGACTAATTCATCCATTTACTTCTTAAAAAAATATGATTCAAGTGGCGGTGGCACAGAGTCACATGAAACAGTAGCTTGGTGTATGCATGAATGGATTAAACCAACAGCACCATTAACAAAACCATTGAGGATTTTTGGCCTGAGACGCCACTCATGGAGTTATTATTATTTTTATTTTTTCATAAAAGAACATTTGACTGGCTTGTCCTTGAACATGACTGGCTGAAACAGACAGTCTCTAAACTTTGGTTTAGTTTCTCTACTGGTGTGATTGTTATTGTTTTGTTTTCAATTGTTTTAGCCTTGATTGATAAAAGTTTCCTTTATCGTTTATGGGGTTCTCGTTGTTCCCACAGTAAGTTGTGCAGTTAAGCTCGAGGGCAAACGCACTCATAGAAAAGGTATGAGGATTAGTGGGCCATCCTTAAAAAGAGCTCACCAGACTTCTGTGTAATTTCTGAGGAAAAGACAGTACGAGGTTAAACGTCAGCCAGCCCCCAACGGACGTGAGGATTGGTTTGATCTGATTGTGTTCACGACAAGTTCTTTCCTGGTAGGGTGTAGCCTGAAAGCTTTCTCCTATCTCCAGCATGCATGTGTCAGTGCATTTGGCGCAATTCTTCAGAGTGACTTTATTCTATGTATTTAGTTAGAGCAAATTAATTGTTGGACTTTTCTTCTCTGTTTGCTGAATGAAACTTCAAAATCTTTTGTGCTTTGAATTATCATATTTCTTTTAACCTTCAACCACTGAAAAAACAGATCTAGTCCTTTAGCTGTCTCTTATTCCATAGTCCTGCTTGTCACATTTTATAATGAATACATTTTATAAACGTGCCATAATATTTATATATTATATAATCTTAATAAAAAGATTAGGCTAAGGGTTGATGTGAAATTTCTAGCAGTTTCCTGTGGTGTGACGGGGTAGATTTCATCTAAAGCTGTTTTAAACAACACTTTTCTAGTTTTTGTACTATGCACTATATGGGATATTTGTAATTAAAAATATATATTTATCACTCCACCAGAGTTTAAAGGGATAGTTGAATCAAAAAGAGCAATTCTGTCATTGAGTTTCTTTTAAATCATTAGGCTAATACATATTAAAACTTTCAACTCAATGTAAAATAGAGAAAAACTTTATCACAATATTAGCAATAATGACCATGAAAATATAATTATTAAATAAAATAAAGAAAAATATCTATACTTCACTACTGATGCACATACAAATGTAATTATTTTTATTTTACTGCCAAATGAAATGTATGAATCATGTACAAGAATTAAAGAGAAAAAGCAATAGTGCTCCGCCCCTTTTTTCAGTAAACTAACCGGTTCCGGAAGTATTTTTTCCCATTAATTTCTCTCATAGAGATACAAAAAAAAGTCTTTGTTAAACAAGCCAATCCGCTATGAGGTGAGTCACAACACTACAAACTTTGAAATAAAGCAAAAAAGTCGTTGAAAATTGCAAATGTACAAGATGTACTAAATCACTTTTCGCATGAAGCATTGCGAACAGCATACCCGATTTATTAGTGATTTGTGATATTTTTTTTGTACAGCATCACGAGTAATGTATTTTTTCACCATGAATGCTGCTGCCGAACACTATTATTTTAAAAATAAGTGAAAATAATGTAGGATTACGGCTTCAAGAGAAGCAAATAGCATCGATTAACATCCTTGTAGCTCACAGCAGGGCCATCTTTAAAGTTTTTACTTCCAGAACCTGACTGTTGCACTCTATAGAAATAAAATCAACTCATCTTTTTAATTTTTTTATGTAAATGTCACAAACTATCAAGATTTAGTTTTATACTAAATCCGTGTCCTGTTAATTTTTTCATTAACAAAAGAACATTAAGAATCTTCATGCATTTTATTTGTCATTTAATGACAGTTCACAGTGACCACATCTGTCAAGACCCCAACATATATGATCAATCGGCTATAATTTAAGTCCTAGCTCAGACTAAAACAGACTGATGTATTCATCAGTGGTGAATAGAGCATCTTCATGTACAAAAACATGTACACACACACACAGAGGTGTCAAGCTAAGGTCAAAGTTCATGACCACGGTCATATCAGCTAGAGAAACATAAACCAAACATTGTGTAGTGGGCCTTCACCAACATTAAGATATAATATCTGTAATTGCAGATCATTAAACAGCCCGTTTTTGTTGACATAAGGGATCTATCTGTGTTTTATGATGGGTTTATCTCCTACACAGTGATCAGTGTGTGATTGTTCTGTGTTCCACTGAACATTTCTCATTCTCTTGCAGCAGTTATTTGAGGCCACGATGGATCAAGCCAGGACAACAATTTCAAAAATCGTAAGGCAATCTTCTCATACAAATTTATTTTGAGTTATCTGAACCAATCATTTACCATTTGAGAGAGAGAGCAAAGAATATCACAGTTTCTTTATAATAAAGCATGAAGTCTGTGGTCACTCATATGTGTCTCTCTTTAATCAAGCAGATTTTAGGAACTTCAGCTGAAACCTCCTTAATGTTCCTGATATTACTTTTACTACTTGTGCTGAAAAATCTTCAACGCTCAAACTTCATGACTTGTCCTTAAAGGAATATAGTTTACTTAAAAATGAAAATTCTGTCATAATTTACTCCCTTCAAGTTGTTTCAAACCTGTATGAATGTCTTTCTTCTGCTGAACACAAAGGAAGATATTTGGAAGAATGTCGGTAACCAGACAGTGGATGGACCCCATTGACTTTCATAGAAGGAAAAAAAAAATACTATGGAAGTCAATTGGGGTCCATCAACTGTTTGGTTCCTGACATTCTTCAAAATATCTACGAGAACCACAGGACAGCGTTTCATCTTGGTGTCTTGCAACTGTATTTTCCCAGTTCAATGGGGAGCCGCGCTCCTATACTCGCTTTAACCTGACCCAGAACATGGAGGGGGACAACAGCCATGTGGAGATGAAGCTCTCATCTGACATGGATGATGAAGTGGAGGCTAACGGTGTTGGGGAAAGCATAAACCAACATAATCGTCCATATTACCCAAGCAAGCTGAACCAGCGCTCTCCCAAAACCGTCTGTGGAATTGTCATTGCCATTCTGTTCCTCTTCATTATTGGTAAGCCGGTGTAGTTTCAAGCTTATTTCATGGCCCTCTTGAATACGTCATTCTGATCGGTCAGTTGTAGAATTCTGTGGTCAAATGTTTTTGTGTAAGACTGATAAACTAACATTATTTTTATGCTCAAAAATGGTTACAATGTTTTTGTCTTTCAGGATACCTCATTGGTTACCTGTCTAATAGAAGCACAGACAAAAATGAAATCAAGTCAAATTGTCCGGTTTTAAGTGAGACTACCCCAGAGAGAGAAGAACCAGTTTATTCGTTGGACTGGAGTGATCTCAGGGCATTGCTGAAAAAGAAACTGACAACCGGCAACATCGAGAGCAACCTCAAGTAAATACACACAACTGCTCTTTTCCATACGGTAAGATGAGCAGGTTCTCAAGCTAAACATGTTTTGTTTGGTCTTTCTGTTTCTCTTTCTCCCTCTTGCAGGGAATTCTCCAGTGTCAGTCACCAGGCGGGAAGCTCAGGCGATGAGGCGCTTGCTAATAAAGTCATGGGGAAATTCCGAACATTTGGAATGACCCCCTGGACCGACGAGCACTTTGTGAAAGTCCAAGATCGTGGTACCTCAAATAAAGTGCTGTTTCGTGGTGACGCTGTGGGAACAACCGAGGGATATTTGGCATACAGTGCAGTTGCTACAGTGGAGGTTAGTTTTGAATGTTCATTTATGTTGAGAACCAACTGACAAAAGAGCACCATAAAACTATCATACAAGTAGTTCATACAACGTGTGCAATATTCCAAGGCTCTTGAAGCCATGCTGGATTACATCTGAGCGTATGCAAATTATTTTTGCTAAAACAACACTAAAACTCTGTTCGGACAGGACTGGCTTTCTAAACAACGTTTGAGTTACAATTATTATCACTTAACATCTGTGATTACATCTCCGTGTGGGAGTGTGTGTTTTCTAGATGTGGCCGTTACAGAAGATAATGTGTTGTCCTTGAGTACATTACATGAATGAATGAATGAGGCATTTACATAGCGCTTTCATATGTACTACTGTACACCCAGTGCGCTTTACAATCATATCAGGGTCTCTCCTCAACCACCACCAGTGTGCAGAAACCGTGCGCTCACCACACACCAGCTATAGATGGAGAGGAGAGAGAGTGATAGAGCCAATTCTGTGGATGGGGATTATTAGGAGGCCGTGATTGATAAGGGCCAGTGGAGGGAATTTGGCCAGGACACTTGGGTTACACCTAGCCTGGGAAAACCCAGACAACTTCCGGCAAATTTAGATTTGCTCTGAAAGTTAGTCTGGCAAAGAGCTCATTCAAGCTCATTTCCAATCCGCCGAAATCCCGGCACCAATCAGAAACGTTGGGGGAACGATGTAAAAACGTCTTTACACGATGACGACAGCGCTGGGATTTTGAAGCAGATTTTGTAGCCTACATTACAAAGATGGATGCCGCCGTCGAACATCACTCGTTCGAATCAGCTATCTCGTCTGTTTTAAGCGATTTGAACGTTTCCTTTTTGTTAAAAACCGAGCAAAGAACAACACTCGGAGATGTTTCTGCCGCTCTGCATACGTCATCTCCTTCATCGCTCTGATTGGGTTTAGGTCTATCCGCGACTCCGTTGGTGACGCCCCTCTAGAAATGATTTGTCTATGACGCTTTGCCAGACCATAACTCAATTACAACTGAGATGGTCTGGTTTTAACCAGGCTAGGTTACACCCCTAGTTTTTACGAGAAATGCCTGGGATTTTTAATGAGTCAGGACCTCGGTTTAACGTCTCATCCGAAGTACGGTGCTTGTTACAGTATAGTGTCCTATCGCTTCACTGGGGCGTTAGGTCCCACACAGACCTCAGGTTGAGCGCCCCCTACTGGCTTCACTAACACCTCTCCAGCAGCAACCTGGTTTTCCAAGGAGTCTCCCATCCAGGTACTGACCAGGCTCAGCCCTGCTTAGCCTCAGTGGACCACAGTCTTGGGCTACAGGGTCATATGGCTGTGGCAATATCACCCGCCTACATATTACATAAATGTCCTTTTAAGCCGGGGACACACTTAACGACTGTAAGGCCCTTTATGAAGTCAAGTCAAGTCATCATCATTTATATAGCGCTTTTTACAATGGAGATTGTTTCAAAGCAGCTTTACAGAGATAAACATACAATTTACGGTAACAGAGATTGTTTTGGCTTTCTAGCGATTTTTGAATAATGTTATTTCCAGCTAAAGTTGGTTTTGATTGATTCACTTCCAGCAAAATTATCATTTGTTATTACATTAGGGGCCACTAAGACGACGGCGTTCTCTCTAAACAGACTTTAACGCGAACCTGTGACCTGATGGCGTTCACATGCGCATTAAAAATTGATTCTATAGTTATATTCGTTTGAATATGTGTGCGCAGGTTTGTAATTTCCCTACAGACCATGCCTAAACAAACTACTTGTCTTGCAAGATAAAGAATTTTGAATAAGATACATTAGATAAAGAATTTTGTTTTATTTTATCACTTCGGGGTACGCGAACCGGATTTTCAACAACGCTTTATCTGTAGAGTGGGAAAGGGATCCTCCATAGGGAAAGGCTAGTTGACACTTCAGCACTGCATTGTCATCGGGTCCAGGCGAAGCTCCTTCGTCAGATCTGGATCCGGCAGGCTGCGGGAAAAACCTAGGGATAAACAAAGACACTAAAGTTAGCGTAGATGCCATTCTTCTTATGATGTAACGAGTACATCTGGATTTAAGGGAAGTGTTCCCAGTTCCGGCTGACCTAATCTATGCAGCCTAACATTGAATTATAGAAGTCTATAATGTATTATGTGTATGCTAGGTCAAAGAGATGTGTTTTTAGTCTAGCTTTGAACTGACAGAGTGTGTCTGCTTCCCGGACAATGGTAGGAAGATTGTTCCAAAGTTTTGGTGCTAAATAGGAAAAGGATCTACCGCCAGCAGTCGATTTAGATATTCTAGGTATTATCAACTGGCTGGAATTTTGAGATCGCAATAGACGTGAAGGACTATAATGCGTTAAGAGCTCGCTCAAGTACTGCGGAGCTAAACCATTTAGTGCTTTGTAAGTAATCAACAATATTTTAAAATTTATACGATGTTTAATAGGGAGCCAATGCAGTGTTGACAGAACCGGGCTAATATGGTCATATTTCCTGGTTCTGGTAAGAACTCGAGCTGCTGCGTTTTGAACTAGCTGTAGTTTGTTTATTAAGCGTGCAGGGCAACCACCCAATAGAGCATTACAATAGTCTAGCCTTGAGGTCATGAACGCATGAACTAATTGTTCTGCAAGGTAATCTGATACTACGACTGATCATGCCCATGCCCAAGTGTCTGTTTATAATTACACCCACATAAGTGAGCAGTGAAATCTAGTCAAGTATCACACTCTTATCTGACATTAAAATGGGCAGTTTTCAGTTTCCACGATTTGGCTCTAGAATTAATTTTATAAATAAGTATTTTTCATAGGTTACCATCCATATTGAAATGAAATGAAAGCATGCTGAAGATTGATTGCGCAACGGTAGCTCAGATAGGTCCAAAACACATGAGGAGAAGAGTTAGTATAATACATTAGCAATCACAGACATTCGCATTCGGATGGGATTACAGTAGATTAGGACCGTTGAGTTTGCCGAAATACAGTAGGTAATTTGATCTTGAGGTTGTGTGAGAAAAATATAGACCTGCCAGATTCGGACAGAATTAAAATTGCAAAGTATGTCTGTGAAACACAAATTTATTTAACGTCCCCCTGGAAAACTAGTTGCGTCCGAATATCGCTTAAAAAGTTCATAAATTGAAAAAATGCGCATGTTAAAAATTAAACTCTGAGAGAAGTGTTAATTTTCTTGAGTATGTCTAGCATACACTCTTCTATAAGATTTGAAACCCTTAAAACAACAACAAAATAACACAAAAAATGCAACAATATGACCTAATATCTAGTAGGGGAGTAACAATATATAGTGTCACAATATAAAGCGATACAAAAATGCAACAATATTTATCGTGGATGGTTCACCCAAAATAAAAATCTCTGTGTGAGAAAAAAATGAGACAAGTTTTCAGAATTTTAGTGTCCGCAGTACTACGTTAAACTACTATATATAATGTATACTAATGCAATGGGGGAATATTTGTGAAAAAAGTGGCCTACATTATTTTAAATATATCTAGTCAGTGACAGAGTGCAAGCATATTAGTCTAAAATAATTCTGTATTTTCAGCTTTAGAATCATGAGTATTTGTATCATGCTGTCACCATTGTCCAGTGCATTGGGTTACCAGCACCAAGTCCGAGCCTATTCATTTACACCCACAATGTAATATCAAATTTAGCATTTTAATCAACAGTGCATTTATTGTTAACCTTTTATCATATGTCTTGGAGTATCATAATAATATCGCATCGTGAGTTCAGTATCGTGATGTGTATCGAATCGTGACATGAGGGTATCGTAACACCCCTAAATGTTTAGTGATTAATCGGTTTGACCACACTAGTTTCAGACTATTTCTTATGACTTATTACTGACTCTGTTGTGTAGGGAGCCGCTCTGTATGCCCATTATGGACGAGCAGAGGACTTCAGACGCCTTCGAGAGCTGAATGTTGATGTGAATGGAAAGGTTGTCTTGATCAGAGCTGGACTATTAAGTTTCGCTGAAAAGGTTGGTGTTCTCACTCACTCATATTTTAAGACTGTTAATATTTACTTATTAATCCTCTGGTTTTCATTTGCTTATTACAGGTGGCTAATGCTGCTAGCTTGAATGCTAGTGCAGTGCTAATTTACCCAGATCCTGCTAACTACGAAATTAATGACAACACTGCTCTATTTGGCCATGTAAGTTGTGGAACCTTTCTTCTGTCAGATCGTTTGTTTTATTCAAAGTTTATGTACAGTCGATTGATGATCTTTCAAAAACGCTCTTTTCAAAGGTCCATCTTGGCACTGGTGATCCCTACACTCCAGGATTCCCTTCCTTCAATCATACCCAGTTTCCCCCGGCTGAGTCTTCTGGCTTGCCCCTCATTCCGGCCCAAACTATCACCATAAAGCAGGCTACTGAGATCATGAGGTGCAGTTGTGACCGCAAGTGACATTTCTCTTGCTATTTACTATCACTGTCTGTTGCTGTTACTGGTATACTCATTACTATCACTAATAGTTTAGTGTTTGAAATGAAAATTGTACGGCTTGTTGAAAAAAGATGTTGTATAATTTTTTTCTGTTGGATGAAAAAGCAGGCAAATCTTATATACTTGGAGGACTAAAGCTATTATGCTTTTTTACATTTTCAACAAGTGTGAAATGTTGCTGCTTGAGCATAAAAAGGGTCTGCAAAGTCACTCCTAAATGTTGCCAAAAATTATATCAGAATTATAAAACTAAAACAGAGTTTCCTATTTGACTTGTTTTTGAAAATTTTCTGAATTCATAAATCAGTTGCATCACATTATCAGTCAATGGTGTCACTTTTGTGTACTTATAATACACATTATCATTACAAAGGATGAGTACATGTAGCTAGTGTTTTATTGTAATGCTTGATGTTTTAAACAACCCTAAAAAATGTATTAAATCTCGTAAATCAGTTGCATCACATTATCAGTCAATGGTGTCACTTTTGTGTACTCATACTCATCCTTTGTAATGATAATATGTATTATGTGTAGCTAGTGTTTTATTGTAATGCTTGATGTTTTAAACACCCCAAAACATTTATTAAATCTCTTACCCTTTGGGGATTTAAGAGGCTATCCTAACTTTAAGTAGTTATTTACGATGTATTTAAAAGTTTTCTTTAGAAAAAAAAAAAAGAAGAAATTTCTTATGAAATAACTTTATATTCTTAACTTTATTTAGTCAGAGAATAAGTATAAAATAGCAGTTAGTTTTATTTTAAAACTCTAAAACTCCGTAATATAATATATGTTTGGAATTGGGCTCTTTTGACTTGAGCCAGCAACAACCTACAATAGCAACCACGCAGAACACCCTAGCAACCATCTATCAACCCCATGACAATGCACCAAAAAACGCAGAACATCTTAACAACTACATAGCAATGTCTTAGAAAAGCCACCCAGATCCCTCTAGCATCCTGGCTGCAAGAACCACTCACACTCTCATCAGTTTTCTGTCAATGTGGTTTGTTGTTATTCCCTTTATTTACGTATTTGTCACATTTGTTCGCAGTAAGTTAGGCGGTCGGACTTTACCTGATGGATGGAGTGATGGGATGCTCTGGGATACCAGGCTTGGTGATGAAGGTGACAATATTACCGTGGAAGTGAACAATGTCCTTGTTCAGAAGAAAATCCACAACGTGTTTGGAGTCATTAAAGGTTACTTGGACCCAGGTACTGTATACTGTTTCACTGGGCTTTAAACAGCACTTCAAACAAGTATTTGGCCCCAGTCCCTAATCACTTGGTTTTTGTCTTCATCCTTTGCTTTAGATCGTTATATGGTGATCGGAGCTCAGCGAGATGCATGGGGCCCTGGATTTGCCAGAAGCACAGTCGGCACTAGTTTACTGGTGGAGTTGGCCAGAACTATCACAGACATGATCAAGAATGGTACATTGCAAATAAGTAGTGATTTTCGTTTTAAAGACATTTTTCACATCACAAAAATGAAGTAAAACTGAAAATTATTAATTGGCAATAATTCTTGTTGATTATAAGTGCAACTTTCTTTTCTTTCAAGATGGATTCAAGCCAAAGAGGAGCATAGTGTTTGGCAGCTGGAGTGCTGGTGAATTTGGTGTCGGGGCCACTGAGTGGTTGGAGGTATGAATGCATCTTTGATTGTCTTCTGTTCAAAAATGGCCTTGTTAAATATGGGAGTGAATTCTCTGTTTGTGTGACCAAATAATCTCAAACCAGTAACCATATGTATTTACATTCATTTCTTCAAACTTGAATCCGACTTACATTTTTTTAGAATTACTACAACCAATTACTTGTATAATACCCAGATAGAAGCATATAATTTTAAGCCTTAAAAAAAAAAAGGTTTGAAAAAATTGGGGCTTTTGCTCCAGAGGAACCTTTTCATAGTTCCTAGAACTAATGGCGGAAGTACCCGTTTTTTTTTGGCGTGTTCGCACAACAGGAACTGGGAATGATTTTAGTTCTAAGAACTAAACAAGCGTGGCTTACGTCACTTCAGAGTTCGTTCTGGTGGTGCGAATACAACCAGGAAAATGGCCTTGGGGAACTTTTAGTTCTTGGGGAACCACCCTGTTGGCTAGTTCAAATAACTAAGTTCCTGGAACCACCCGGTGCGAAAGCCCCTAACGGGGCCCATCAACTGTTTGTATAGTCTAATATTCTATTTAATCATTAAAATCTATTTTCACATTGATCTTGACTGAATGGTGCCGACCCTCCTACTGTAGTATGTTAGGATGCAATTCCAAACATAGACGTTGAATTTACAGTGTGAATTTATATTTTGTGGTTTTTGTACCCATAGGGCTACCTGACCTCCTTGAATTTGAAAACGTTTTCTTACATCAGCCTTGATGAAGTTATTTCAGGTTTGTAAAAGGTTATTTCTTGAAGAATTGGAGTTGAACTTTGTTGTTGAGTTGAAGCTGATCATCTGACGTTCTCTTTAGGTTCTGGCTCTTTCAAAGCATCTGCCAGTCCACTGCTGTATGACTTACTAGAGAGCACTATGAAGCAGGTAATGGATCACATTCATGCTGCTCAGAGTTGACATGGATGCATTTAACCTGCAGTTACAAGTGCATAAATAATGTTTATTTGACTTTGTTTTAAACTATTTTCGTTGGAGAAATGGATAAAAAAACAGGCGATATTCTGTCTAAAATGTAAGTCACATAATAATAATAAATTTTGTTTATTGAAATGTTGTATAAAAGCAGGATCACATTTGTAATCGTGCTGATATTTGGAGAAAAAGTGGCACTCTTTGTGTGATATTAACTATATTAAATTACATAAATATAAAATATATACAGATAAGATATACACCTTATCTTGAATCTTTTGGTGGGATTGTAAATGCATTTTAATAGAGTAAATCACGCAGTGAAAGCGTGCGCTCTAATGCACAAGCGCACTAGTCTAACTTGCTAGACTGATCACGTAGTGTGTGCGTGCGCTCTCCGAGTGTGTTTCTTAAAGTGAAGGTCATACTCGATCATTTCAGATCACATATCATTAAAACAGCAATTACTATATTATCGTAGACTATATATATATATATCGCACACCTCTAGTATCACAAATTAATCTTCTTATAACCTGTCCTGAGCTGTTTTATCGGTCTTGTAAAGAAAAATAACTTCTTCCCCATGCAGGTCTCCCATACAGGTGATGCAACCAAATCCTTGCATGAACAGTTTGCTGGATCCAACTGGGAGAAGTCTGTGTAAGTTGGTCCCGCCCTGCTAATGTTCGACAATCATATATATATATATATATATATATATATATATATATATATATATATATATACTATTACAGTATTATTAAAGGGGTGCTTGATTATGATTTCACTTTTCTAACTTTAGTTAGTGTGTAATGTTGCTGTTTGAGCATAAACAACATCTGCAAAGTTACAACACTCAAAGTTCAAAGCAATGGGAGATATTTGCTTTTAAAGAAATCGTTTTTAAGGACTACAGCAAACATTGGGACTACACGACATTGCTCCCGGGTTAGTGACATCACAAACCCTAAAATTTACATAAACTCTTCCTCTTCTCAACATGGACTGCGTGTTCCCAGGGGCGGCCCTGGGAACACGCAGTCCATGTTGAGAAGAGGAAGAGTTGTTCCAGTCTAAACGACCCGAACCAGTCTAAAATAGTCCCAATATAAACACTTATGGCGCTTTTCCACTGCATGGTACGGTACGGCACGGTTCGGTACGGAACGCTTTGGCGCTTTTCCACTGCATGGTACGGTACAGCACGGATCGGTACGGAACGCTTTGGCGCTTTTCCACTGCATTGTACGGTACGGCTCGCTTTAAATGGTACCACCTCTGTCGAGGTTCCAAGCGTACCGTACCGATACTAAAATGTGACGTGAAAACACTGCAGATCACTGATTGGTCAGACAGAATTGTCACTACCAGCGTCATTGTATTTGCGAAACCTCAAACCCGCTAGATTTAAATAGCCAGTAACAGCCACCGCTGTAGCAACTGTTTTAAAACTACTTGCTTGACTTGTTTGAAGAAAAAAGAAAGAAAAAAAAGAAATGGCTGAATCGTGGTCAGTGGACGAAGTGCAGACGTTCCTCTCGTTGGTTGCTGAGGAGCGGATAAACTAGAACGATCAGTCTATAATACCACCCGCTTTAAAGCGGTACTAACTGCAGTGGAAAAGCAAACAGAGCTAAAGCGAACCGAGCCGTGCCGTGCTGAGCCGTACCAGCAGTGGAAAAGCAAAGCGAACCGAACCGTACTGAGCCGTACCAGCAGTGGAAAAGCAAAGCGAACCGAACCGTACTGAGCCGTACCATGCAGTGGAAAAGCACCATTATTATAGGTATACCCTGGTGATTCAGGATAAGACAAAAACACGGTTTGGAAAATTGATTCATGATTTACTCGCTCATTAACACCAAAACTAACTGGAATAAAATACATGTTTTAAAGCTGCAGTTCGTAACTTTTTAAGGCAACATTTTTATTTTATTTAGCTTTATTTCAATGAATTACATTATTTTTAATAGTTCTAGTCCAGTACCAACAATATTAATAACTTTCTACCATTTTCTTCTTCACAGAATGGAGCCTATGGGTTTGTCTCACTCTGCTTATCCATTCCAGAGCTTCTCGGGCATCCCGTCACTTTCCTTTCGATTTACTTTGGTAAGTATTCAGGTTTTACTGAAGATGTCAAAATAAAGTATTCTTGATGGATGATAGGAAGTAAACATCTGCCTGATGTATTTCAGAGTTCAAAGACAGAGTACCCGTTTGGCACTTTTGAGGATACCCAACAAAGTCTGGACCGGTACACTTCCTCTTCCACTCTGAAACTGGCCAAGACAGCAGGTGAGGTGGCTGGACTGGTTACTCTTCGGCTGGTACACGACCACCTGCTCAAGCTGAACATGGCAAAGTATTCCAGCGTGATCCGCAACTATGTGTCCCAGATCAGGGCTAAAGTTGAATCACGCCAAATGGTGAGTCTACGGGGTTGCATGTGTTTACTCTAAAAGAATTTGGGCTTAGTGTCTGTTGAATATCTACAGAGCACCTAAAGGGACATGGTGATGGAAAAAATATGAGATTGGAGGAAAACATAAATTTCAATGCTTTTGCATTTGCTCGTAAAAAGTGTTACGTTCCCCTGAGAAACTGCATTCAATCGCAAAAATTGTGCGTTCCCTTAAGAAACTGTTGTGTTCTTTGCGAGCGAATGCAAAGTTTCTCAGGGGAACGCAAAACATTTGCAAGAGAACGCATAAGCATTTACTCCAATCTTATATATTTTTTCCTTCACCATGTCCCTTTAGGGCTTTTAAAGCTGCTATCTGTACTTTACAGATATTTACATTCAATTTTCGCATTTTACTTGTCAAGGTTCGCCGCCTTCCTTCCAATTTGACGATGCAATGGCTTCTGTCAGCTCAGGGGTCGTACGATCGTGCCGCCAGCGCCCTTGTTTCTACCATCCGCAACAGCGATCTTGACGACATGGAGCAGTGTCGCATCATCAACAATCGCATTATGAGGGTAAATAACATTGCACTCGTCCAGCCATTTCATTCTTTCCTGTGTTGACATTAGGGCTGTCAAAATGGCTGAAAAGCTAAATTCGAATTTATTTCTTAAATATTATCAAAAATTCTAAAAGGCAATACTCAATGTTAGTCTGTAATGTCTCCTATGCCCACAAGAGAGCGCAAGCGAGCACAAGCAAATACAAACCAAATCGAGCAATACAATACAATTTTTTACAATTTGTATAGCACATTTAAAAACAACTGACGTTGACCAAAGTGCTTAACAAGGCCAAAAGACATAGAATACAAGTACAATGTAAAGACACACACATCAAGATATATTAAAAGCTATTGAAAAGAAATGAGTTTTCAAAGAAGATTTAAAAATTGGGCAGATCTGATGTGAGCCGGTAAGCTATTCCATAGCCTAGGTCCGAAGGCTGCAAAGGCGCGGTCACCCCTATTTTTTTTAGCCTGGTTCGAGGGACAGATAGTAAGTTAGAGTCCCCCGATCTGAGTGATCTTGACTGTGTGATTGGGCGAAGTAATTCAGATAGGTACTGTGGAGACTGGTTCTGTAATGACTTAAAAACAAATAAGAGAACTTTAAAATCAATTCTGAATTTAACCGGTAGCCAGTGAAGCGAGATCAGCACTGGTGTAATGTGTTCAAATTTACGCTTCCCTTTGAGAAGGCGTGCAGCTGCATTTTGGACTAATTGTAAGCGAGTGATGCATTTGTGAGGGGCACCAATATATAAAGAATTACAATAGTCCAATCTGGATGTTACAAATGCATGTATGGCAATCTCAAAGTGCTTAGCAGACAAGAAGGAATTAACCTTGGCTAAAAGACGGAGGTGAAATAAACAGGACTTAACCACAGCACTTATCTGCTTATCAAATTTAAGGTTATCATCAAACCAGACCCCCAAATTCCGAACACAGGTGGTGCTATATGGTAACAACGCTTGTAGATCAAAATCATGAGTACTACGATCATTGGGGCCAAACAAGAGAATTTCAGTTTTGCTCTCATTGAGACTCGAGAAGTTACTAGAAAGCCAGAGTTTCAGTTCATCCAGACAGTCCAATATTGGCTTTAAAGCAAGCTTGTCATCACGCTTCAAAGGCAAGTACATTTGAGTGTCAGCGGCATACAGATGGAAAGAAACCCCATGTCTAGATAAAATGGAACCCAAGGGGAGCATGTATAAATTAAACAGTTCCGGGCCAAGAATAGAACCCTGAGGAACGCCAGACCCCAGTTTCATTTCTGAAGAACACTGTTGCCCAACACGGACAGAGTAAGTCCTATTAGATAAGTACGAGCGGAACGATTGAAGCACCGTACCCCGAAAACCCATCCATCTTTTATTAAAATTAAATGACATTCACTTTTTAAAGTGCGTTAACTTTTGAAACAATTGTTCTTAAATAAAATATAATTTACTTAATGTGCATGCAAGGAAAATTAGGTTACAATAGTGCATACAACTTTGTAAGTGCATCAGTAACCTGAGAAAACACGCTTCAACAGACAGCGTAATGTACTACATGAACATGGCAA